ATGGGATGTTAAAAGACTTGGAGTGATGGAAATCTTATAAAACTTCAAAGCAGCCAGTACTAAGGAAAGAGAGATTTCCAAGAATGATAAAGAAATATAGCACACCTGAGAACTCTGTCTTGCCAAGAATCTCCTCCTTGACCGAACTTTAGTCAAACTCCTCTGAGCCCCCTTGTCCTGGGTCCCCTGAGTCAAGATTTAGCAAGAATTTTGATAGGCAAGGTTAGCACAGATACCCACACTGTTCATATCTAATCAATGTCCTCTTCCCCCACACTGGTATCTCATCAGTTCCTCTTAGTAATTTCCATCCACTCACTCCCTCACTCTGATACTTGGCTATAACCCCCCAGCGGTCCTTGCTGCATTCAAACTTGAATTCAACCTCTCTCCTCTACTGCAATAGTCTTGACCCCATTGCAATTGTTTTGAATGAAGTTATTTTCTTTTCTGTTACACTCCGTCTGACGCAGGTTTCTTTGACAGCCTAGAAAGGAACAGTGTTTATTTTCACTCACAGTTTTTCAAGCTGTTCAGGAAGTGTGGTGCCGTCATCTGCTTCTGGTGAGGGCAGCTCTCGAGGAGCTTAAAATTATGGTAGAAGATGAAGAGGAGCAGTCAGTATATCACATAGTGAGAGAGGGTGTAAAAGAGAATGAGAAGATCCCAGATTCCCGGAAACAATCAGATCTCATGTAAACTGAGAACTCACTTATCACCAAGAAGATGGCGCCGTACCTTTCGTGAGAGATCCATCTCCATGATCCAGTCACCTCCCACCAGTTTCCACCCGAACATTGGGAATCACATCTCAACATGAGATTAAGAGGGGACAAACATCCAAACCATATCACTGGTCTAAACAAGCATATAAAACTTGAGGTCCAAATATTTTGTAAGCAGAAAGTTCCCTGACAAAGCTATGTGACTCTCAAAATAGTATATTCTACAAAACTCACATCTGATCTAGTCAAACAGAATAGTGTACATGATCTTTCCAGAAGATGGATTTAGGAATGGCAGAAAACCAGAAACAAGAAAAGTTTTCCCAGAGATCAGAATCCAGAGCTAATGAACAAATAGTAGCAGTTTCATCTCCATAATAAGGGTGTTTGCAATGATACTGTCAAAATTACTACATGATTGACAGGGACCACTGACTTCTGTGTTTCTCTTATCCACTTTTACATAGGATTGTCTGCTGTTGTTAACTTGTGGTTTCATTATTGCACATTGAGTGTGGACAGCCTCCCTTTGTAGTTCTTGGTGTGGGCTAAGAGGAGCCACATCTTGACCTGATATAGAGTCTACTGTGTATTCTGCTGAGATTCTGGATTTAAGAGCTGAAGTCAGCACTTGGGTGGGACTTGTGATTGTCTCTCTTGGAGAGGGTTGATGTAGTTGTATGTATGAGAACAAAGGAACTATGTCAGTTACAGCCACAGCATAAAACACACGGAACACACAAAGGGGCAATTTTAAAAGGTCAATTAAAATGAACAAAGGCGTGGGCAATGTTGAATAATCCTACCAGGGATGGTTATCAAGGAAAAATTAGCAGTAGTGGAAATCCATCACCTCCTCTAAGGCTATAGAGCTCAGAGGACATCCTAAGGAGAGTTGTAGCTACAACAAAGGACTCTAAAATGACTTGGTCAAACCACGGCTTGCTAGAGAAAGTGTTGAATAAGTTAATACTCAGATTTGTGATCTTGACAGTGCTTTTTTGGTCAACTCCAGCTGGAAGTCAAAAGGTAGAGAGTACAGATGACACAGCCTATATGCTTCCCTTCCTTCCTCTAGCTTGGCTAATGAGTTGGAAGCAAAATGAAATGTGACTATGTTGTACAAAACATTTGAGAGCAGGCATAGGACCCTGAAGCTGCGGCAAATGAGAATAATGTGGACGTAAGATGCTGTCACTTTTGTAGCATTGTTCCCTGAGTTACCATGTGGAGTAGAACATCTTGCCATCATGTATTGGATACGTAACTTTGGTAGAAATAAACTCTTGTTACACTGTTTGAGATTTCATAGTTAATTTGCTCCTGTAGCAGTTTACCTAAACAAATGTATATTTCTCTACATATATATTTATTTCTACATATGCAAATTTAAAAGAGTTAATTATATACAAATTCATTGACTATTGTATTTCTGGAATGTTATCATGCTACACATTGGAGAGAGAAAGAGAGAGAGAAAGAGAGAGAGAGAGAGAGAGAGAGAGAGAGAGAGAGAGAGAGAGAGAGAGAGAGAGAGATAGGAGGGAGGTAGATTGCAGATTTAGATTATCCTTGGAACAAGCTTTCCCTAGAACCTGATACTCAGCACTACTCAAGTACTGTGATCACAAAATAATAAGTGGAAATGAAGTCATGAAAGAGATGGTTTATAAAAATATCATACAGGAAATACATTTCTTGATCATTGGAATACATGTGCAAGCTCATCTTGCCTCCACACTCAAAGTGTATTGCATACAGTCCTCTAAAGGAGGTGCTCCCTGAGGGCCCAGGGAGCCAGGGTTCTCCCTCTGTACCCCATCCTACTCACCTGCCCTCTGATTAATTCAGCAAATATGCTCTTAGCACCTTCCATATGGCAGGCAGTCTGCTGGGTGACAGGGACCCAATGGTGAGTCAAATCCAGTACAACCATTGCCTGTGAAGCCTAAGTCTAGGAACAAAGATAGGCCTAAATCAAATGCTCACGAAGGTCTCAGCACACTCTTGACAAGTGTTTCTATAATAGGGCTGAAAGGTGGGTGCGGGAGGGGGAGCAGAGACGGCCAAGTCCTATGGGTGGGGTGACCATTTGTCCCAGCTGAAAAGGAAAGTTTCTGATGACGCCTGCTGCTCTGGATTCCCATTTGATTTAGTATTTGTCTCAGATTTTCTCCATTTTTAGGAAAGTATCTTTATTGCCAATTGCACAAAAAAAAAGCAAAATGATTTCAGTAGTGCTCTTTTTCATAGTTCCAGTTAAGGGCATGATCTTGTCTAAGAGCACATGCATTTGCACGACCTTGCTTAAAGGACAGCATAGGGCATTTGCTGATAAAAAAAAAATGCTTAGACAAAAGCAGCTAGAAGTAGCTAAGTCCATTTCTCTCAAGTAATAGTGCGAACATTTTTAATTCAGCTGCCCCTGCCATCTCTTGATTTACTAACAAATTTTGCCACAATACTTGCTGAAGTCTGCAAGATACAATGTATCATCAGGCTACAATCAGCAAGGTTAGTGGCAAATGCGGGAGAGCATAGACTTGAAATGGAGGAAATAAGGCGGGATAGTATGACTCAGCATCTGAATGCTTTTGCTACTGCAGCTCCCAAATATATTGTTTTGTAAAAATTAAAATTTTTATTTATTTGACACCTTTTCATTAAACACATTCAGTAGCAATGAGCTAATAAATGAAAGTACATGTTTAATGAAAAGTTGTTTTTATTTTTCAACAATGGTGGTCCTAAGTGTGTAACATGCGCAAGATATCAATCAACCTTTACCATCCAACCACCAAGCACACATAGGACATTGTGACATCACAGAGCTCACTCAAATCAAAAGACACAAACCTTCTGTGGAAATATCAGTGATTTTTAATGAGATGATGGCTGAAGGTGAAGACATAACACAAGTAGTTGCCGAAGGTAAAGCTGCTTTCCATTCTGAGTAGCTTGACTTTGAATTAAATGACTATTTTCTAAATTATAGTTGCTTATTTTCAGTTTCAAGATTTCTTTTGCATGTATAAAAAGTGAAGAAATATCAGTTAATAAATGGCTACATAACAGAAAATCTTTACTTTTGCAAACAGACAATGCAAATCAACGCGGTCAGTTACTTTAAATAGAAAACTGGATCGTTATAATGGTTGAATACTTTGTGTGATTAATGGAGCCAAAGTAAAGCTTTTGGAAGCTTATTTTAATGAAGGTGGAGAAACGGTTTTGTTAATTTCACTACTGTTAAATTCCACATTGAACATAGAGTTATTTGTTTTGTGTAATGATGTGAACACAAATTTTGGTGGAACAAAATATCATGGCAAAACTAATATGCCTGGTGAAATAAAAATCCATGACTCAGAATCTTACTGGGAATTTGTTATGGTACTTTGTAATTCTTGGTTACATTCAAACCAGCTGATGTATTCTGCTAGTCACATTGGAAACTCTTATTTTATGTACAAATTTTTAACATATGGCCAGGCACAGAATAACTGAGCCACAGTTTTTTGGCTGAAAATGATGTTAAATACAAAAGGGTATTGATACAACAAACAGTGCTGGGACGATTACATATTCATAGATGTGAAAATAAACCTCAACCTCTGTATTATGCTGTATAAAAACATCCACTCAAGACAGCTTGTAGACTTGAATGGAAGCTGAAACCACAAAACTTCTAGAGCAAAATATGCATTTTCATCTTCAACATAACTCTTAGGACACTAAAGCACTACCCAGAAAAAAAAAGTGAAATGATAAATTGAACTTCAGCAAAACTATAAACTTAGGCTCTTCAGAAGACATAACTAAGAAAACAAGAAGGCAAGCAACACAGGCAGAGGGAAATATTCACGATATGATATCTGACAAAGAACATGTATTCAGGGATGAAAATCCAACAAATGAATAGTAAAAACAATTTAATCTTAAAAAGAGGCAAAACATGTGAAGGACAACTCATAAGAGAAAGTACGTGCTGATCAATAAGCCATAGGAGGGAGCTCAACAGTCATAGGCTAGCAGGGAGATGCATGTTAGAATCACAGTGAAAATCACCTTACACCTACTGCAATGGCTGCCACTAACAGGACTGGCAACATCAACTGTCACCAAGAATTTGGAGCAACTGGATCTCTTGTACTTTTCTGGTGGGAATGCAAAATATAGGACAGTCACTTTGGAAAAGTGATTAGTCGTTTCTCCTAAGGTTATGTATACTTTCACCATCAGCTTAGCAACCTGAGGCACATATGGGAGACACACCTACATACCTGGCAGGGAAGATACCATGATCATGAAGGTCCTTTTCTCAGGGCGAGGCTTATCCATTGCACTCCAGATGTGCAGACCCCTGCGATTTCCCCAGTGTGAGAAACTTGACTGCATAATTTGTGGTAGTGGGGGGACTGCGTTCATGCTCTCCCCCAGTCTGGCTTGTTTAAAAAGACATACTTTGTGGTCGGGCTCCGTGGCTCACACCTATAATCCCAGCACTTTGGGAGGCCAAGGTGGTGGATCACTTGAGGTCAGCAGTTTGAGACCAGCCTGGCCAACATGGTGAAACCCCATCTCTACTAAAAATACAAAAATTAGCTGGGTGTGGTGGTGGATGCCTGTAATCCCAGCTACCTGGGAGGCAGAGGCGGGAGAATTGCTTGAGCCCAGGAGGCGGAGGTTGTAGTGAGCCAAGATAGCACCATTGCACTCCAGCCTGGGCGATAGGGTGAGACTCTGTTTCAAAAAAAATTTTTTTTAAAGAAATGAAAGGATACAACCAGAAACGATTGTAAAATAACATTCATGGCAGTTTTATTGACTGTAGCCCAAAACTGGAACCCCTCCAATGTCCACCAACAGGAGATTAGATTAAACATTATGCTAAGGAAATGAACCCAGACATGAAAGAATATATACTTATGATTTATTATTTCATTGATATGAAGTTCAATATCAGGGAAAATTAATTTATGATGATACAAATCAGAACAGCGGCTGTCTCTGGAAGTAGAGGCAGGACTAATGAGAGTGTAACACAGGGAACTTTCTGAGAAGAGGGAAAGACTGTCCGACTGGGCTGCTGGTTACACAGGTGTCTGTATCTTTGCCAAATCTCATCACATGTATGCTTATGACTTGTATAGTTTAAGTCATATCTCAACAAGAAAGCAAAAACAGATCAGTTTATGAAAAGGGATTTACTGGTTTTCCATTTTCAATGTAATAAATTTTTACAATTTAATGGCTTAAAACAAAACAAATTTATTCCCTTACAGTTTCAGAGGCTAGAAGTCCAAATCGGGCATTGCTGGCTTGAGGTGATGTCAGGACTGCTTCCCTCCTGGCGCTTTAGGAGAGAAAGCGTTTTCTTATTTTCCTGTCTGTCACACACTGCCTGCGCTTCCTGGCTCCCGGCATCCCTATCTTCAAAGCCAGTCACAGCCAGTCAAGTCTTTTGCGTGGGGCATACCACAACTCTGACTTTCTCTAAGTCTTCCGTCTTTAAAGACATTGTGATTACACTAGGTGGCCAAGATAATCCTGGATAAACTCCCTCTTAAAGTCAGCTGATTAGCAATTTCATCTGCTACCTTAATTCCTCTTTTCATGTAACATATTCACAGGTTCCAGAGATTAGCATGTGAATATCCTTGGGGACATTATGCTGCCCACCATGTGGCGATTGAGGTGAAATAGGGTACACCGTCATGGGAGTTTTGCCCACAAGGGGTATACGCTGGGAAGAGACTCAATAAACCACTTAATCTTTACCTAAGTTGTGCTTATCTGAGTATGTTACCCTTAAAAGTTAATTAAGATTAAGCTGCGTAGATAAAAAGTATGCACTTTAAGTACAGCATATGTCAATAACAATTTTCAAAACAAAGATGCCTGTGATCACTATATTTGTAAGTCAGTGAGTGTCCTGAGAAAAGATTGAATGTTTTGAAGTCCGCTGAATAATATTGAAAACCTCTAAATCGAACTATACAGTAAGGAGAACAAGAAAACCTCAGCTTTGGAAGCTTTTGGCAAATTTTAATTATCTAAAACAAAGCTAGCAAATAGAAAGATAAGGAAATTTGCCCCTCAAGTGCTATTAAGCAGCTAAACAAATTAAAAGATGAGAGATTATATGGAGCTTGGAATATAATTTTGAAGTTTTATGTCTCAGCTTTTGTGAAGGATTTTAGTGGAATTTTAATTTTAATTCTGTAAGTATGTATTTGGCACCAGAATAGGGTAAATTGAGGAGACCGTGATTTTCAAAATCAAAATTTCCCTCTCCTCTAAAAGCTTCTTTTGCTGCTGTCTAGTTAGTCCTGCTTCCACCTCCAGAGACAGCCGCTGTTCTGATTTCTATCACCATAAATTAGCTTTGCCTGACATTGAACTTCATATAAACGAAATAATAAATCATAAGTATGTATTCTTTGATGTCTGGCTTTGTTTGCTTAGCATCATGTTTTATCTGGTCTCCTGATGGTGGACATTGGCAGCCTTCCAGTTTTTGGCTATCATGAACGAAACTGCTATGAATATTACTTTACAGTCATTCTGGTTGTATCCCTTTATTTCTTTCAGATATGTGCCTCAGAATGAGGTTGCTAAGTTGATGGTGAAAATACACTTAACCTTCTAAGAAAGAGCCAATCACTTTTTCAAAGCAACCTTACTGTATTTTGCATTCCCATCAGCAAAGTATGAGAGATCCAGTTCATAAACAGATAATTTACTTAATAAATTTTATCTTACAAAAATATTTATCAAAGATGGATACTCTGAATGGAGGTTAAAAGTCAGAAAGTGTGAAGAGATTTGGCCTAAAACATGTATTTCAACAGAAAAATTGGAATTGAGGGATTCCTTCTTTATAAATATAGGAATCGGCACCTGTTAAGAACATTCTCTCAATTAATAATTGTACAGAAGAGCAAACTAAAGACATCAGTAACTTCAAATTTGTCAGCCATGAAATTAATCTTTGTAGAATATCACAGCAAATTTTGGAAAATATTATTTTTAAAAAAGACCTTATTACAAATATACTATGTGGTCCAGGCACAGTGACTCACACCTGTAATCCCAGCACTTTGTGAGGCCAAGGTGGGCAGATGACCTGAGGACGGGAGTCAGAGACCAGCTTTACAAACATGGTAAAACCTTGTCTCTGTAAAAATACAAAATTAGCCAGGCATGTCTGTGCATGCCTATCATCCCAGCTACTTGGGAGGCTGAGGCAGAAGAATCCCATGAATCCAGGAGGCTGAGGTTGCAGTGAGCCGAGATCACACTATTGTGCTTCAGCCTGGGCAAGAAGAGCAAAACTCCATCTCAAAAAAATACATATATATATATATATATACACGTGTATATATATATATATACACACACACATATAATATATATGTGTATATATGTATACATATATAATATGTATATATATTATAATTAATAATATGTATATATATGTGTATATATGCATATATATATTATATATGTACACATATATATGCATATATACACATATATATACATATATACGCATATATATACACACACATATATACATATTATTTTGAATATTAAAATTAATAAGCAGAATGGTCATTTTGGCTACATGTCTATAAACATGTCACTGATATTTTTCCATATTATATATAGATGCACACACACATATATATGCATATATATGTGTGCGTACATATATATTTATTCTGCAGAATACCAGTGACATGTTTATAGACATGTAGCCAAAATGACCATTCTGCTTATTTTATTTTAATATTCAAATTAAAAATATGATGATTAAATGTTTATTTAATGTATAAGTCATTTTGATGTTTTAGACCATCTTTTAATCACTTTTGTTGAATTATTTTAGATGTCTACCAATGTAATAAAATCAATTTGTTATTCAGCAAATAAATATTTCAAAAATTACATAAGTTGAAATAACTCTTGTTCTCTGTTGTACTTCCTAAACCATCCTAATATGGCTGGCAAATCTGATGATCAGACCACATATCAGCCACATGAAGGAGACCGCTGTTTGTCCCTAAGAACAAAGTTATATTTCTCAAGCTACATTTTAGAAAGAGATAAGGGCCAGATTTTTTGAGCTGTAGCCTCCAAACTGAAAGTAGGGGGAATCCTGTGAGGCCCATTCATTGTTGCAGGCTGGGTTCCCAGGGAGCTGGTTCTGAGATAAAGATTAGCACATAAACACTTTCTTAGTTAGTGCTCCTGCAATCACAACTCATAGGAAGGATTCGACTGAGAAAGAAACTGGGCTGTCCTGCAGTGTCTGTAGAAGCCCCAGCCCACCTGTGGGGAGCCCTGAAGCTCAGAGGAGGCTTCAGCATTTCCCCAAGTTGGGACATTTTATCAGTCCTTGAATACAGGTCACAGCAAGAAGGACATAACTTCCCTCAGCTGAGGCAGTATCCAAGGAGGCCGGAGGCTGGGTACTCTCTCCTAGCAGCATCGCCAGCACCTGAGGAAAGAGATACTTCATTCCATAACGTGGCTCTGGGCATTACATCACAACAGCCACCCGTCATGTGCTGGGTTCTGTGCTGGGTACACACTTGCCTACAGATGGCAAGTATGTGCCCAATGTAGGACCAGGTTCTAATGCAGGGGAGATTTGTTTCTCATTTATATACAGGCACCACATCAACTAGAGACAAATCTATTTCTATTCAAGAAGAAGGTAGTAGAAACAATGACTGCCCTGCCTTCCCAGCGTAGCCATGCTTCTTAGCTTCTTGATCTTGCAGGGCACCCAGCTGGGAGCCTCCTGGGAGGGGCTAACAGCACCTAGGACTTGCATGGGTACTGCTAAGCTAGGAGCACTGTCAGGAATCTAGCTCACCCCAAGGAGACAGGAGGGTCTTCAGTATGCCTGTGTCTCAAGCTCTGAGCTCTGCCTTCCTTGGCCCTGGAGTCTTTACAGACATCAAAAGGGAAGTGAAAGCTGGGACCCACGCAGGTGCACCGCACAGCCTCCTTCGGTGGATGTTACCCAAGAGCCAGCTAATACCAACTAATTAGGACTACCAGCTAATGCTAGCAAGAGTTACTGGTCAATAATAACTTCTAGCTCTTCATAATGCACCTGCCTCTTGAATAATAAAAGTGTCTGGTGAGTTATAATTCAGCAAAATCATTCTGTAATCACATGTGAGGCCACCAGCAATTTACCAAAATGCTGTTTAATAAAATGCTGTGCACATCAGAAAAAAAAAATAGAAGAAAAATGATGCATTATCCTCACAAAGGGAATGAACCAAATTCCCCAAATAGCTTTCACTGTAAAAGCTTTCCTCTGCTTTATGTGCTTCCTCTGCTGATTCATTCTGTTCCCAAGGTCTGTACTTTCAGTATGCTTTGGTGTGAAAGAAAAAAAAAAAGCCAAATTTTCTTA